ACAGCTAAAATTAAGAGCCATTTGAGGAGTAATATGGAAACCTAATGTAATAGAATCTTCCTAAAATATGTACATATATGAAGGTGTTCTAAATGAAATCACCAAATAGTGGGGGAGACAGAGTCCCCACTGGTTATCTCTTGTCACCAAACAAAGCTTCCAGTACCAGGATTGGGTGACATCTAATTTAGTTGTTTGCCAAAGGTTTGAAATCCTTAAACAACCAAAGCTTTTGCCAATACTCTATATAGGCTGCTCTCCACAAACTGACAGCAAGGCCACAGGGATGAAGACAACGCCTAGATCACTCACCGACTATGACAAAGCACAGCTAGTGGCTACCTAGCGCCTTCACCCTTACTTTCTAGCATTTTTTTTCTATGATTTTTTTGTGTAGCCTTGGTTGTCCTAGACTCGCTTTGTAGACCATGCTGACCTCAAACTCATAGAGATTCACCTGCTTCTGCCTCCCTGAGTGCTGGGATTACAGGTGTGCCCACAGCGTGGGGCTACTTGTTGGCATTTTTGCTGCAGGAAGATACTCTGCATGCTACCAAGAGAGAAATGTAAACACCAACCCAAACAAATCCTTGATCTACAATGGTGTCCTGCCCGGAAAATTACGCTAGGGCAATGGTGGCACAAAGCTTATGGGAGTAAATAATCAATATTGAATTTGACTTAAGGTCCACTCCACAAGCCTGAACCCATACCTGACACTTTTTGGGGTGATCAAGAACCCAAGACTAGTCAACTAATGGGCCTAGGGTAAAAACCAAATACTACCCTCCTCCTCCTCCTCCTCCTCCTCCTCCTCCTCCTTCTTCAATAGTACTATTATAAAACAAAACAAAATAAAACTGACTCTTCATGATATTCTGTTATATTCATAGATCAGCCATCATCAGAGAAGTTTCCTCCGGCAACAGACAGGAACAAATGCAGAGTTCTACAGTCAAACATTAAACAGAGTGAGAGTCCTTGAAACTCTCAGCCCTAACTGGGATATCTCCATCAAATCCCTCCTGTCTGGTCTCAGGGAACCTCACAGAAGAGGAGGCAGAAAGACTGTGAGAGCCAGAGGTCACAGCTGATACCTAGGAAACAAAACCTTGTAAGTTAATATGGTCAAAGCTCGTATGAACTCACAGGAACTAAGGCAGCATGCACAAGGACTGGTTGGGTTTGCTCCATATTCTCTGCATATATATTATGGCCTCCAGTTCAGTGTTTTTATGAAGTGCAGGGAGTGTGAACAAGTGGCTCCCTCACTCTTGTGCTTCTACTTGAGCACATTTTCTTCTGTTTGTTTTGCCGATTCTGATGTGTAACTTTTATTTTTATCACATTATATCATGTTTGTTATATATTATATATTTTATTATTATCCCTTACAAGTCTATTTGTTTTCTAATGAGAGATAGAAAGGAAGGTGGATTCAGTTGGAAAGGAATGTGGTGAGGAACTGGGCAGAGCAGAGGAGGAGGAAACCATCATCTGGATATATTATGTGAGGGAAAACAACTTTTTTTTTTAAAAAGGAAATTGTTACATGGTTTTTCTCATTGTGTTTCTTTGCTGGGGATGTAGAGGTCTCTGGAGTGATGGTTTTAGAACATGCCGGTGAGTTTGGTGAGAAAGGCACAGTGATTTACAGGTACTCTGTGATGATTAGATGATAATTTTAGAGGTTATTGGGGTAAACCATATGCATTATATAGGTTTGTCACTTTTATCTGTTTGAATATGTCTGTTTTTATTACTTTCTGATGACTGTCTCACTGTGCTAAATATTAAACCAGCTCCTTTTTATTTAGTCATTATTTTAAGGAGTTATGAGCTTCATTGTGCCAACTTTTTAATTTAATTGATTAAAAGCAAAACTCATTTTCTTAATCACAGTTTGCCTGGAACCATGCAGCTCAATGAACAGTGAGAGAAAATATGAAACACATAGTGCTCTGAACTTAAAAAAAAAGTTTTGAACAATGCAACAAGTGTAAAATTATACCCCAATAAATGGTGTTAATTAAGTGATGGGGATATATTTTAAATAAATTAACCAATGAAAGGGAATATCTTATTTAAAAAAATAATTGCTCATTTTTACCTTTATTCTTAGTTTGGAGAATTTATACATGATCTCAAAGAATAATATATGACCAGCAGGACCATTAGTGAGACCCAAAACATAGAGTGATCACTGTCTGCTAAATTTTGGGTCCAGTGCTGTGGAGGAGGGAGGGAGGGCACCGAGGGAGGGAGAGAAGGACCGAGAGAGAGTTTACACCACCTACAAGGTGCAACCCACACTGTTATCTTGGTTAGGCATGGGTGTAGACATTCACACATTTGATTCTGTGGCTGTGAAACAAGTGTACATTATGTTTGATCTCCTTGATGTAGTGTTTTTCATACATGTGATTAACACGAGCTGTAAGGAATGTCATACTTTATTAGAAATTTTGTTTTTGTGTTTGAGACAGGACCTCAGTATGTAGTCCTGGCTTGCTTGGAATTCAAGGTGTAGACCAGGCTGGCCTTGAGGTTCTAGAGATCCATCTGCCTCTGCCTCAAGTGCTTGGATTAAAGGCGTGCAGCCAGCCCCTCTTAGAATTATTATATAATAAGTAATGTTCCTTGGCTTAAAACCCACAAGTATTCTTTAACACCTATCTGCTCAGCCCAGAAAGTTACAGAGACAAAGAGGCTGCGGCTCAGCACCTTTCAAAGTACCAAGTAGGTCCTGGCAGAAGGAGAGCAGCCACAGATGTCCGTGTCACAGCCCACGGGTCAACAAAGTGCTCCACGTTCATAGCCTGTGTGGTGTGCAGTTTGTGAGAAGAGGTGCGGACCTAAGGGGAAGGCCTTGAGAAGGGACGGAGCCTGGAAATCAGCATTGAGCTAGATGAACAGGGCACAGGGCACTCATTTGATACTGGGGCAGAAAGTCTACACAGCACAGATGCCAGGGAGAATATACGGAATTTTGGCTTTAAATGTGCTGACATTCCATATGCAATTTTTAACTCTTGGAAAACAAGCAAAATCGAGTTTCAGATTTGGAAGACTGACAACGCACTTCACACCTGAGCACCCAGAATCCCTTCCAGACAAGATCCCCTGCCGGGTCTGAAAGCCGCGTATTTGAACACCATCTACTTTGCTGAACATACTCTCTTCTCATGGACCAACGTTTTGCTTAACTTTCCTGAATTCACTGTAGTGAAAAGAAAACAGAGGTGTTCCTCTCACAGTCCACATGGTTGACATGCTTTTATCTGGAATTAACAACACACAGTGAGAGCCGTTTGCTCTCCTTTAGAGCCATCTTCTAGGGCTATGGGCAAAGCTGAGACCCTCTTGTTTTCTTATCAGATGCAAAGCTGAAGACCACATCAAGGATATCTGTACCGGATGTTCTCACAGAGGAGCACACGCACACGCGCGCGCGCACACACACACACACACACACACACACACACACACACACACACACACACACACACACACACACACACACACACACACACACACACACACAGAGTGAACTTACATGTATTTCTCACAGGGACAAAAGCAAATGGTGTGGATGGACTTTTCTTTCTTCTATATTATGTGGCATTTTTATGCCTTTATATGCTGGGCGTGGTGGCACATGCCTTCATCCCAGGACTCAGGGAGGCAGAGGCCTCTGTGAGTTCAAGGCCAGCCTGGTTTATAAAGTGAGTTCAGGACAGCCAAGGCTACACAGAGAAAACCAAAAACCAAATACCAAAAAATCACCCACCCCCAAATCCCAAAAACAATATTTGCATTTATGTTATTTCTTTTGCTCTGGAGAACAGGGAGGAACTCATGCCTTTAGATACTGTTAAGTATTACCTGTGGCGTGCTTCCAGACTGACAAGCTCAGAATCATCTACAATGGTTTGAAAAGGATCCACTTTCCTAGTTCCAGTTCTGCTGAAGACCCACTGCCTCAGGGACCCTGGAAGCAGGTCTAGGCATACACAGTTGGTAAGCATCTAGGAGATCTGTGCTGCAGCTTTGAGTGGCAGAATCATTGATGTAGGCCTTTCCAGGTGCTTTGTTCCAGAATTAGGCACTTAGGAAACGGAGACTCACAAGTATGTATTTGACCCGATCCACTAAGCTAAAAAACACAAAACCAGACAGACTAATAAACAACAAAAGCCTATGAGATGGCTCAGTGGGTAATGACACTTGCTACAATCTGATGACCTGGGTTCAGTCTCAGGAACCCACATAGTGGAAGGAGAGAACCTATGCCAACAAGCTACCCTCTGACCTCTGCCTGTCTGCCATGTCATGGCACATGCATTATCCCCAATGCAGCAAACATAAAACAAAATAAATTGTCTGCTGTATTCCTTTAGGTCACTGTGGAAGAGGACCCACATTGGCACAGTCTGAAGTCTGAAGCAGGTTTAACCAAGCAAGACCCTTATAGCGTTTGTTTCTTCTCAGCACATTTCAATTTGTCTTAAAAGAAAAGTTTCTATTCCTTTCTGATTTATTCCTTTCAAGACTATGTTTGCTCATAGAGTTTTCATGTGGTGTTTTGGTATTTATGACAGGCATGAAAGCCTTTGAAAATTATGAAAAATTCCCTTCAAATGCCATAAACAGTCTCTTGTCTCACCAACAAGTCTAGTGCTAACTTTCATTCTACCTTTGGTTTAATTAAATCAATTAATTAATCTTAATCCTTTCTTTTTAAAGACAGGTTCTCTCTACCCAGTTGTGGCTGTCCTGGAACTCCTTATGTAGACCAGGCTGACCTCAGACACACAGAGATCTTTCTGCTTCTGCCTCTTGAGTACTGAGATTAAAGGTGAGCATCACCATACCTGACTTAAATTTTCTATATTCTTGAGCGCTTTTTTTTTTGACTAGTTATGAACCACCATAGATACACAGCAATGTTCGCTACATAAAAAGCACGATTATTGATATGACTTCCTGCCATTAAGCTTAAAACTGTGGAACACTTCACGAATTTGCATGTCATCCTTGGACAGAGGCCATGCGAATCTTCTCCATGTCATTCCAATGTTAGACTATGTGCTGCCGAGGTGACCATAGGACTTTTTACGTGGAACATGAAGTGGAACATGAGTGTGCCCCTTCTCACCCACCTGGATTTTAGTCACAGATTTACTTGTTTCATTTCATGTTTATGAGTGCTTGCCTGCGTGTGTGTGCACCACGTGCTTGTCTGGTGTCTGGGATCAGAAGAGGGCCCCGGCTTCCCTGGAACTGGAGTTACAAATGGTTTGGATACACCATGTGATGCTTGCTGCATTCAGTGCTCTTACTGAACCATGCCTTCACTTTTGATTTTAAAGTCCTCCTGATTTGTCCATAGGATCCCTGTATCTTTAGACAGCATTTTGATTCCCACCGTCAGAGGGCTGATGGTGATCTTTGTTCTTAGCCTCTGTCTGTCCGAGACAAGCATAACAAGTGAGTGGTGTGTAGATGAACACGGAAGGACATTTCCCAGTATCACTGATGTAAGGATGTGAAGCTAGGGGAGGATTCAGGAGCAAAATCCCATTCTCAGCATCTCTTCTTTTTGAATTGTATCCATCAGAGCTCATCTGAAAAGCAAAAGAACTTGAGTATGATGAGGCGCCGTGATTACTATATTAATGTAGCATTATGTCATGATAATCCTTAGTAGAGGAATCTACATAAATGTGGGAGAAATCTAAAAGGAAGAAGAGAAGGAGCAGATTTAAAAACCACTCCCTGGGGCTGGCAAGACAACTCAGCAGATTAAGGCACCTGCAACCAAGCTTAATGACCTGAGTTAAATTTCTGGGAGCCACACGTAGAAGGGAAGGACCAACTCTAGCCAATCGTCATCTGAACTATATGCACATGAACAATAAAATGAATAGATGTAATTGAAAGAATAAAACCAAAACAAAAAATCACTAACTGGCTTTTCTGACATCCTGATCTGAGAAAATTCAGAGTTTAAGGAAGCTCCAGGAAGCCAACAGATGAAGATGCTGAGGACTACTATGGGGCAGAGCTGCTGAAGACAATGGATGCAGGTGGCAAATCAGGGCAGTTGCTGTTCAGAAGCCCCAGAACATGAGATGGCAAGTGGGTTACCGGGTGAGGGTGGGAGGGCAAAGGCAAGCTGGAATCTACAGACACCTGTACCCGTCTTTTTTTATTTTTCTTTCCCCATCTATGCCCCATGCCAGTTGTCGGAGTCTAGGCTGTGTCTTCATCTCCACTTTCAAAAAGCTTCATGCAAATTCCACTTTTCATCAACTTTGACCTGGATCCAGAAGCAAAAGGAAATTCTGGGAAGGTTCTTCTGGGTTAGCCAAGTTGATAAGTCATCAATATAAAACTTTGACAACCATTATCTGTTTAATGCATATATATTTATTTTGCCTGATGCTTTGTGTTTTGTTTCTTTTTACAGTAATGCCTAAGAGGTTTTTAACTTGCTTGAGAACAGGCAGAAACCTACAGACTCCCACTTTCTGTATGGGCTTTATATACCATTTATAGCCCATAAATGCATTTTTTTCCCCAGCTGAATAGAATAAGGTTCTGCAAAACAGGCTCTTTTTTAAAATGATTTATTTATTTATTATTTATACAGTTTTCTGCTTGCAGGCAAGAAGAGAGTACCAGATCTCATTATAGATGGCTATGAGCCATTGCTGGAATTGAACTCAGGACCTTTGCCTCCACAAAATAGGTTCTTTAAAAGCTGGATGGCAGCTGGGTGGTATTGATATATGCCAGCATTTGGGAAGCAGAGGTTGGTGGATGTCTGAATTTGAGGCCAGCCTGGTCTACAGAGTGAGTACCAGGGCAACCAGAGCTGCACAGAGAAACCATATCTCAAAATAAAACAACTATTTAAAAACCCACAAACCCCCAAAAGAAACAAACAAAACAAAATAAACAATAAAAGATGGCATCTTTCAGGACACTGGGAACCATGTCTTCATGGCTCCTTTCACCTCTTTGAACCTTACTGGCCACATCTCATACAGGAGTCTCTTGATAGCAGCACCCTTTGGGTCCAAGCAGGAAATCATCTGTTTATTAGTCTTTGCTTCATAACAAACCATTCCAAAATGTAGAGGTTTTGAAAACTTCTCTCTCTCCTGATTCCATCAGTTGGAAAGTATTTCTTGGGCTAGTTTCATCCAGGTTCACTCATGAGGCTGAGTTAGATGGAGAGAGAGCAGTCCAAGATGGTGCCAGGCATGTCTGTTGATTGGTACCTACCTCCTGCTTTGCTTTCATGTGCCTTCTGATAGGAGACTAGACTGCCTTCTCTGTGTGGAGCTCCATAGGGAAGCATCTCCAAACACCATACTTACAGTAATAAAAACCTTATAAGGTTTAGCTTCGGAGCTATAACAATATTCTGCACATTCTTTTGGTCAATGCTCTGTTAGATGGCAAGACCAGATTCCAGATGAGGGAAAACTTCTTATGGGAGAAGAGGCCAAATGCTGCATCCATGTCCTTCAAAGTACAGTAACAGTTTAAAAATAAGATTACCTTTCAGGGACTGGCCAAATAGCACTTATGACATAACGACCTGAACTAGATCTTTGATTCCACAGTAGATGGAAAGAACGTACCTCAAGAGATTTGCCCTCTAACCTCTACATGCATGCCCTGGCATATGTGTACTTCTGCCCCATTTCACCTTCCCCCCCACTAAATAAATACATTAAAATTGAATTTTCAGTTAGTTTTTTTTTTTAGTAGGACTCTCCGGCTTCCCCCTTCACAGGTTATTCCCTTACATCAGTGAGTCATACATGGCGCTAATTCTGTCCCTATCTCCCCCTTGGTGATGACAAGACATTTTTGTTTATACACCTGGCTACTAGCACCTACTGTCCTTCCATTTATAGGGCAGCCCCCCCCCCAATGGGAATCTGGTGCCGCATCTTGAGGTGAAGTAGCCCTGCTTTATATGGAATGTAATTTTAGCTGGTTGCCTGGGGGCTTGGTCAAGAATATTTCACAGACTGAAGTTATTTAAAATTTTGAAAGGATCATAAATTTCTTTGGGGATGGAAAGGGACTTCAGGTACAAAACCTGCCTTTCTAGCATTCATTATTTACAAGTGAATCATTTTAGATAGAACACAAACCACTCAGACCCTTCTTTAAGATTCAAATGGAAACAATACTCAGGCTTTTGAGACCCTGCCTATTATTTTTAACTTTCACCTCTCATTGTAGCTTTTGTATCAATCCTAAGAGATGTGTTTGCTTGTGAACATGTTTAAGAATACATGTGACCATGTGCATGCGTGAGCGCGCACACACACACACACACACACATAATGCTTTAGCTATTTTTGTCAGAAGTCTTTGGATGACTTTACTGTGTTGTGTTAAAGAAGTGTGTTTTCATTGGCCAACGCCATGGACTTATTAAATTGGAAATAATTCACATTAAACTGGTGATTTTTCCAGCTGTAGCTTTTATATACAAACTGATCGGACTTGCAAAACCTGCCGTGGATATCTTTCCAAATTGTTCTTAAGAGTAGCTGAAATCTTTAAAGTTTCACCTCTAGGACAAAACAGAGTAAACTAAAAACTAAATAGGATAAACTGGTGAAAACAGAACCCAAAACAAGTCAACACTGCATGCAACAATAGTTAGATTATTGTAGGGCGGAGAAAGCTAAAAGTGTAGAAGGCTAGTTTCCCTGTTGTTTCTAAAACAGAAATTTAAAATCGGGAATGAAATGACAACAGTTGGGCTGTGTAGCTGTACACTCCCACTCAGGCCTAGGTTTGCTGCTGGCTTGGATGGCCACCAAGTCAGCGTCTTCCCCTCTCGCCCTAACATAGCCCATCTGCTCCCTCCTGAAGGTGTGTGATCACAGGTGTCTTATCGAATCTCCTCCCAACTGACAGAGCAGTGAGTGCTAATGACGGGGAAGATGAGCTACATAATTTGAATTCCTAAGTAGAAGGGTATTGCATCAGCTCAGGCCTGAGGACAGAGGAAATTCTTGAAAATTCAAGAATTCATGGTGATCAACAAAATAGTCCCAGATCTCTGCTGAGACCACACCTGCTGCCCAGCGACAAATTAATTCCTCTTTTCAGCTTCAAGGGTAGATGTCAAGAGAGCAATATTTTACTAAGGAGAAATTGCTGGAATCTGTTTGCTTAAGAGAACAATTATTGATAACCCATAATTGCTGCCCAAATTATAAATTTGTTAATAATTCCTTATCTGAAGAACACGTGTTACTTCTATTTCAGAGAAGACTAACAAATAATTATTTTAATAGAAACATATCAGAGAAGAATAGCCCTTAAACTATGAACTGTCATCTCCACAAATTAAACTGGTGATTCTGAAGCAGTGAGCATGTTGTCTGAGTTCTCTACTTTAGGAGTTAACCTTTGACTCTCAAGGGATCTCTCACGTTAGGACAATAGCCACGGACAGTGAAACTGGAGTCTAACCTGTGGTGTCACAGAAATGAGATCTTTTTCTTGAGAGAACTCAGTGTGAAGAGATGTGTTGAGGAGGAGTTAGAGGCGCTCTTTGGGAGAGCTGTGGGAACGCAAGCAGCCCTGCGATGGGCATCAGACAGGCTTTGTCGGCCTTGAAGGAGGTGTTCTGTTTTCTCTTTTTCTCAAGGCTCTTCCTTCTTATGCTCAGAAGTAGGCAAGAGCAGCTTCTGTGACACTAGCCTGTATCTTGAGTTCTTGAAACTGTAAAGCGCTGGTTTTGAAGTAGGACTACAACCGGTTGCCACAACACAGACACTCACTCACTTAAACGGTTCTCACAGGTGGCTGAGACACTCATGTAGAGAGGCCTTGCTTCTAGGTGGACGCAGTGAGCCCAGCAAGTTAAGACGCTTCGGAAGCCCACGTGACATGTGTAGACGTTGTCCTTCTTTTTATGAGGACACTTTAATACATGACAGAAGGAGTGTAGTGGAAGGGTCAAAACTTAGATTTAAGAGGAGAGGTGACATGTTTTTAGATTTTTTTTTTTTAACTTGTAAAGTAAAGACAATCATGCCTAAGCTGCTAAGCTGCAGCATT